AGCGAATATAATAACGGGTTAGTGGTTTTCAAACCAAATTCAGTGTGGAAGACGGTTAGAAATCGATTTACTGGCAGAAGATATATGAGGGCCGTGGGAGCTGGATTATGTGCAATTGGGAGACGAATAGGTTTTAGAGACAACGTGCAAATAATTCAATTCAAAGGTTTGATTTGTTTTTCTTTATTTTCATATTACATTTTTTAAACCTGCCTTTTTGAATAGAATGTTTTGATGAGAGAATACCATCTGAAAAACAAGCATATATAAACTTTCTTAGTAGAGAGGCGAAAGGCATAACTGATGTTACTCATCGTATGGGGTATTTGCATAGCCTGACTACTAAATATTACACTTGATGAAAATCATTCCGATCGTAATTTTAAACCAATATACCAATAAAATTTAAGGTTTTCTGGTGGCGACATATTGTCATATGACCAATATGCGATGATTTATGCAGTGATATTTTGCACAAATGATTATGTAAAATATCAGGCAAGATCATATCACGCAAACTAATCATAATTCAGTTTTTAGATTTTCAGGTTTTCAGATAATAATTGTAAAAATGGTTTTTCCTCAATAATAAGCTATTTAGCAAGTATAGGAACGTTTAAAGTAGGGATGAGAATCGAATCTATGATAATTGATTTAATCGTTAATCAAATTAGAATCGATTCTCATTTTTGTCTAGTTATAATTGTTTCATAAACGATTACATATTATCGTTTTAATTATTATAACGCTTTGCAAAAAGGTGTGACCCTGCGACTTTCTTTATGAAACCTCTGTGTAGAGTTCCAATCCGGATCAATCTGTCATCCATTTATCCACATATTATAATTCTGATATCCATCTTTTAGATTGGATATCCAAATCAGATCAACCGGATTATCTGATAGGGACGTTAAGGACGTTAAAAACTTTAGGATGTTAACAGTTAATAGATAACGTCCGTGACCATTATCATAACGTCCATGACTGTTATCATAACATCACGAACGTTATCATAACGTCCATGGCCATAATATGCACCCACCTTTTAATACATTTTATCCAATTATTTATCGGATTTCGGATATCCAATAGATAAATGGATAAATGCTTAATGGATTGGAACTCTACCTCTGATTCTAAATTGCCTATTGATCGCATATTTCAATAAGCAACGATATATTTGTCTAAAATGTTTAAAAAATTCTCCAAAAAATTGGAAAATCACCTAATTTTTCACATTACACCAAGGTCTTTTATCGATCTTTTGATCCAGAAGCGATGGAAAAAATATGGTAATTGTAATATCGTGAAATTTTTAACCACTCCATCAGTGATGCAATATATTTCACCCAATTAGGAGAATGTTTGTATTCGTCCAATAAGAACTAGG